TGGGCAGCATAGGCAACATAGCAAGAACTTGTCTCAAAGGAAAAAAAAGATTTTTTTTCTTTTTCTTTTTTTAAAAAACCAAGCAATTTATTAATATCTGCTATTATTACATTTTTTAAAAAGCGGGTGGGTGAGGACTGGGATAAACTCTAGCCCCATGGTAGGGTAGAGGCTTACCATGTAGGAGGTTTGGAGTTGATTCCCCAGCAACAAAAATAAGGGCTGGGAATATATAGCTCAGTGCATGAGGCCCTGGGTCAATTCCGAGCACCCTCCCCCTCCCCCTCCCCCAAATAGAGTTTTTTTTTTTTTATCATCCAGCTTCAGAGTAGATGTTGGCCTGCACCTGTGATCCGGTTTACTCAGGAGGCTGAGACAGAAGGATTGAAGTTAGAGGCCAGCCTGGGCAACTTAGCCAGACCCTGACTTGGGAGGTGACCAGGCTTCCCCTTCCTCTTGCGGGGGGTTTTCTTTTTAGGTTGTGCAGTTCTCACGCAGCCTCTTGGTGGTTGTGCAACCCAGCAGCTTTAAACTCTGGGTTTGGCCTCACTGTAGTCATTTCCTCCTGGAGAGGGCTGTGACTGAGGGGAATTCTGGGCTGCTGCTCAGATGCGTTGGAGGAGGACGAGCCACCCTCTCCCCACCAGCCCTCCAGTTTCGGTTTGCACAGGGCTTACCGTCCCCCAGGGAACAACGCAGCTCCCCACAAACCCTGGGGCTGCAGCCAGGAGTCAGACCTGTGGGTTCTGGGGGTGACCCGGTTACGTGTGGCTTTGGCTAGCGAGCACTTTCCTCGGCACTTCTGTGACCTTTTTTATAGGTTGGGAATTGAGGTTCACAAAGGAGGTAACTGCCCAGCATTGTGTGGCTTGTGAGTCATGGGGCTGAGGTCGCAAGGCAGGTTCACTTGACCCTCAGCTGGACTTGGAGATGGCACTAAATATTGTCAAGCCTCACTGCCCCACTCTGAAAGCCGGTAGAGGCGTTTTTCCTTCTGCTTTGCTTATAAATAAAACCAGGAAGCTTTAAAACTAAGGGATGGTGATTTATTTTTTTAATGATGCATCAGCTAGGTGTGTTACACACGCCTGTGATGCCAGCCCGCTGGAGGCCAAGGCAGGAGGATCGAAAATTTGAGCCCTGCCTGGGCAACATAGTGATATGCTGTCTCAAACAAAACTAAAAAAAGTGCTAGGGCATAGCTCCCTGTGAAGGTCCTTGGTTTAATCTCTAGTACTGCAAAACAGAAAGCCCAAACAAACAAAAAAACTGGTCCCTAAGTTTTTAGAGGGACCTTATGAGTGGGGTTGAAGTGAACTCCTGTTTATCAGACTCCTGTTGTGTAATAAGCTGTCGTAACTAGTGCTCATTGTATTGTAACACGAGCCCTGAAATCTCAGTTGTTCCACACAATGAAGTTGGATTTCTCCTATGAAATCTAATGCAGGTCCCTCTGTGCATTTTGTTTTTTAACCCCGGGGAGTCTACATCCCCGGCCCTTGTACTTTTTGTTCTGAGACAGGGTCTTGTGTAGTCACTAAGTTGCCCAAGTTTGAACTTTGATCCTCTGGTCTCGGCCTTCTCCAGTGCTAGGATTACAGGGGTGTACATGAATGCCCAGCTCACCTCCTGTGTTCTTGAAGCCTGATGCCAAGTGTGTTGGTATCACAGGGCTTTTGGGGTCCCTGTGGTAGGAAGAGAGGAAGGGAAGAGGTGCAGCGGATGCCGATTGCTTTGCCCTGCAGTGGCAGGGAGCACCTCTGGCCAGAACTAGTCACACCACTCCAGTCGGGTTGCCAGGGAGGCTGGGAGATGAGTGGAAGTGGTGGACATGGATTAACCTGCCCCAGTTCCCGGATCTGGGCAAGGCTCTGCTGAACCATGATTGGTGAGGGCCCTTGAGGTCTGATCTTGCCCAGCTCTTACATCCCATCTCCTCACTGTCCTTTTGCTCCTGCAGCTCAGCCAGGAGGGTTGACCTGCACTTGAGCAGAACCAAAGGCCCACTTGGGGCCTTTGCACATGTTGTTCCTGGAGCACTGCCCCCATGCGCTGTACTCTGTCTTCCTGTGGCTGACCCTTTCCATCTCTTGGGACTCTGCCTTGTGGCACATGCTCAGTGGAGCGTGCCTTGACTGCCCTGTTTGAGTAGATCTCTTAGGCCCACCTCCCCAAGCTTCTTTTCAGGATGAGTCCCCTCACTTTAAAATGGCACATCTCTTTTTTTGTTTATTTTGTACTACTGGGGATTGAACCCAGGCTTTCACCAAGCTCTACCACAGAGAGAGACTCCTAGTGTCTTGGTAGCTTTTGCATAAGTGGCTTGATGTCAGGATTCTATGCATGGTGATGAAGGGTGGCATCCTGTCCCCAGTACAGGGCACACATGAGGTGAGGCAGAATGAGTCACCTCAGTGGCCGGGGAGGTTCTCTGAGAGCCTGGAACAGAGCCTTAGTAAGACAAGCCCTGTAGTCAGACTCATCCGACTTTGTGTCTAGCTAGAGCTGGGGAGTTTTGGATGGTACGTGCTGTGCATGCACGCGTCTGTGTCCAGGAGGGTCAAGCTGAGGGATGAGAAGGGAAAAGAAAAGTGGGCCCAGAAAGCTCCAAGTGTCTGTGGGGTGGGCAGCTGACCAGGGTTCTTTGGGTATAGCGGAACTGCTTCCGTTTGCTCTAGAAGGGATCCATTCCAGCCAGAGTCAGCTGAAGAATAAACACAAATGAATAAATATTGCGTCACTGACTTGAGGGGTGTGTGTGGGGGTCCAGAGTGCCTTCATCAGGCACGGACTCTGTGGCAGAGTCCCCTCTACTGCAGGGTGCAGGGCTGCTTGGCCTCTACTTGTGTCCCTCAGCAGGGAGGAGGTCCAGGCCCCTGGGGCAGCCAGGGCCTCAGTGAGCACAAATACTCACTGCAGGAAGCACAGCCTGAGCAAACAGACCATGCGAAGCAGCTGTCCTCACTTTCCCTTGCCTCAGGGTTAGCCTTAGCCCCTGAGCAGCTGTTTGAGTTTCAGAGCTGCAGGTAAGGTTGGACGATGGTGACAGTAACAGTGGTGAGCAGTAGCAGCTTGTGTCCCCTGAGCAGTTGCTGTGTCTTCAGAGCAGCTGTGAGGGTGGTGGAGGGCCCAGCTCCTGGTCTCATTTATCTGATGGTTGCCTTGATAGTGAGCCTGCCAGCAGAGTCTACGGAGGCCATGAGCTTATTGGTTGGCTTGCGGTTAGTGGTTCACACTCATTAGAGAGCCTGGGACACTGTGAGAGTACAGAGCAGAGAGACAAAGAAGTCACTATCAGCCAACCTCAGTGAGCGTGAGGGGCAGAGAGGGCTTCTGCCTGCACCTTCTATCCCGCCACAGAGCCACTGGCCGACATAGTACCAGTGGCCAGGACTCTGTGTCAGCCTGCCCCTTGGGTGGCTGAGAGGGAACCTGGGTAGGAAGAGCTTCACCACCTCACCTGCACATGTGTGGCTCACTGGCCTCCTCCTGCCCTTGCTGATGGCTTTATTCCTTGGTGTGGCAGCTTGAAAGAATGGGTGTTGCATCTGCTCAGTGGCCAGAGACCAGGCTTCCAGGGGGTGAGGACAGGAAGGCCACCTGTTCTCTGTCTGGTGGTTTTGAGTGTGGGAAGTGAGGCAGAGGCCTGTCCTGTCCCTTCCAACTCAGATTGGTGTCAGCAGCTCTGCAGCAGAAGTGAAGACGTCCAGCCGGGCGTGGTGGCGCACACCTGTAATCCCAGCACTTGGGAGGCTGAGGCAGGAGGATCGTTGCAAGTTCGAGACCAGCCTGGGCTACAAAGTGAGCTCAAGGCCAGCCTGAACTGCATAGTGAGACCCTGTCTCAAAAAAAAGACCAAAAAAAAAAAAAAAAAAAAAAAAAAAAAAAAAAAAAGAAGTGAAGATGTCCAGTACCTCCTGCTTTGCTTTCTTTTCCTTGTAGCACTGGGGCTTGAACCCAGGGCCTCACACATGCTAGGCTAGCACTGTACTCCTGAGCCATACCCAACAGTAGATGTGATGTTTGTATACAGGGTTCTTTGTTTGCATTTAGAAGACCTTTAAACCCAAAGCTCATTGAGATGATTTTCTCAGGAAACTTGGACCTCTTCAGGGAACTGATACTGGGCTGGCAGCTGACAACAGCATGGGGTTGTGGCCCTCCACGTGTGACTTCGGTGCCTCCTGTGTAGGGCATCTTCCTGTGTGCGCTAAAGGCTTCCTCAGAGCTCTGAGATGCTGGGTGGAGCTGGTGTCCCCTGCGCTCACAGAACCTGTGGGTTTTTCCAAACCCATGCCAAGGGGAAGTGATCACTCTTCGGGAAGGAGGTGACCACGGCAGCCAGTTCCCTGTCCCCCTAGGTTGTTATATTGCATCACTTCATCTGCTCTGACCTCAGTTCCTTGTCTCCAGCAAGGACGGAACACAAAGGTGTTAAAGATGCATTGGGCTTGGCCAGCCCTGGCCCAGTGGGCTCTCAGCAGACAGAACTGCCGGGTATAGGAGCCCATCTGTAACACGGGGCAAAGCTTGTGTGTCTCAGCTGGAGGTAGAGAAGCTGTACTTCAGCCAGGGCTGTTAAGATCAAGGGTTAGAGGGTTGGGCATTTTATTGTTTTATTTTTCATTTATTTTGTGCAGAACTGGGCGTGGAAGTCAGGGCCTCAGGCCTGCTAGGCAAGTACTCAGGACAGCCCTGGGATATAAGCAAGCAGATGAGTTCCTCTTTGTAGGTGGGGAAGAGAGGCTCAGAGATGGGAGTAACTTGTCTGAGGCCATAGAGTTGGCCAGGTGTGTGTGATGCAGGATGTCAGAGTGGGGCCATCGCGGGACTGTCATGTCCAGTGCCCACACTGTGCCAGTGAGGAGGCCACAGCTCAGGAGAGACTCACTCAGGCACACTGAGTCTGTGGTGGAGCTTGGAGTGGAACCTAGGTTTCTGATCTTAGTAGTTGTCCCACATCATGACATGACAGTGACCTTCCTTCCACCTTGTTCCAGGGAAACAGGGTCCTGATACCAGCTCTTCCCTGCCAGCCTTCCCAGGGGCTGTGCTGCCAGGTCCTGTGGCAGCTTCCCTAAGATGCAGCAAGGAGGAGTGGGATGTGGGGGAACTCCTGGAACCAGCCGCCTTTCAGGGACCAGGTATTCTCAATTTTATTTATTTATTTATTTATTTATTTATTTATTTATTTATATTTCAATTTTAAAGAGAATAATTTAAAAAAAGAACAATAGCAAAATACCAACAATGTAGACAGAAACAAAACAAAGCAAAAACAATGAACATGATGCAAGGTTTTGAACAAAATGATAGGAATTGACAGTGGTTGTTATATTGCATATTGTTATCTTCAGCGAAGTTGCTCAGATTACCAGATGTAAGAATGCGAGATTGATCAAACCATTAAAGAGAATAAAAAATAAAAACAAAAGAAACATTAAAAGTGATACAGAGTTTCACTAGACAAGATGGTAGGAATTCACCAGTGGTTGTTATATTGCATATTGTTGTCTTGAAATTAGTTGTTCAGATTTCCAGATATAAGCATACAAATGTGTAGTTACAGCAAATTTAAGGAAATGAAGGTGGATCTGTAACAGTGGTGGTGAACCTATGGGACACGTATTACTGTATTTTTCTTTAAGACAAAAGATGTTAGGGGGCTGGGGATTTAGCTCAGCGGCAAAGCGCCTGCCTGGCAAGCGCAAGGTCGTAAGTTCGGTTCCCGGTACCGGAGAAAAACCCAAAAACCCAAAAACCCAAAAAAAAAAAAAAAAAAAAAAGAGAAAAGATGTTAATGTATACATTTTTTTTCTTTAAACTAAAACCAGCATTCAGGTTTAATTGCAGTGTTGCCACTTTGCTATAAATAAGTGGGTTCTGGGTTGTAGTTTAGCACACAGTCTCTAAAAGGTTCACCATCACTGGCCTATATGAATCTCAGCATACAGGACCAAACTTGGAAGTGGCAGTGGGAGATAGTAAAATTAATAACAGTCATAACCATAAAGGATAGTTAGCAGTGATGGAGATAAGTGTGTATATGTGGAAACGTGTTCACACACAGAGAGTGAAGCACAGGAAAAAAAGCCACGTGGTGGCACATGCCTGTAGTCCCATCTCTGAGGGGGTTGAGGTGAGAGAATCATTTGAGCCCATGAGTTTGACATCAGCCTTGACAGCGTAGCGAAACTGTCTCAAAAAATAAAAAGCAAAGCAGACAAAAGAGCAACCTGGATGCATATTGTACATGCATACCTGTACTTGGGAGGATGAGGCAGGGTGACTGTGAGTTTATGGCTAGCTTGGCCTACAATAGCAAGTTCAACTTTACTGTATAACATAACAGGACCTTGCTGAGAAGAAAGGGAAAAGGAGGGAGAGGGAGGGGAGGGATTAAAAGGAAGCAAGGAAAAGAAAAGAAATGATTAAAACCCCACCAAATAAAAAAAAAAAAAAGTAAAAATAATCAGGTAATAAAAGAATATGTACGGGGGGGGGTATAGCTTAGGGGCAGGGTGCTTACTTAGCACCTGTGAGGCCCTGAGTTCAATCCCTAGTACCAGGAAAGAAAGAAAGAAAAAACCCAAATCAAAACACATATGCATGCACACACGCACGTGCACACACACACCCTGAAAGACTGCACACATACACTTACCACCCTTTTGCTTTGATGCTACCAGGGACTGCTGCAGGGCTTCTACCTGCTAGGCAGAGCTCTACCACTGAGCTGCACCCGGTGCCCCCATTTATCACCATTTTTCTCAAGAAAAAGATAACTCAGTAATCATGGGCCTTTCTCTGCACCAGACCCCACTGTAAATATTTCACAGATATTGACTTATTCAATCCTCAGCCACTGTGTGAGTTGGCTGTTGTTTTTTCCCTTCTTAACACTGAGGGTGAGGACAAGGACAAGGATGCTGTGGCACTAAGGTTAAACCAGGCTAAGCTCAGGCCTCCCGGCGTGTGTGGCTCTGAGCTGGTGTCTGTCAGTCTGGGTCTGGGCCTCACAGCTGTGCTCTGGGGCATGCAGGGTACCATCTTTTACCTTCCTCCCCGCTGCCAGCTGTGGGACTGCTGCTTGGCCCAAGGGCCCCAGTGGCACAGAGAAAGAAAGTAACTTGCTTGAGGGCACATGGGTAGAAGGCAGCATCCACACCTGGGCCTTGAGTGCTTATCACAGCTGCTGTGCACACTGCTAGCTCAGACCTCGAAGCCTCCTTTAGACTTGTCTCCACTTCCAAGGGCAATAGGGTCATTTGACAGATGGCAAGAGGATACAGCCCCCATGTGACTTTATCCAGAAACTGATACTCAGTGCTGTGTCTCTGTTCTCACTGCCTCTGCCCTGGAGCCTGGCCTCCCTTCCCCTCCTGCGGCCACCTGAGCAGCAAGTGCCAGATCCTAGACCCAAGCGGTTTCAGAGACAGAGACAGCACGGCCAGGATGAGCAGGGTTTAGGTATTTGAGTTCTAACGCTGCCATTTTCAGCAGAAGGATTGCTCTGCCTCCCTATACCTCAGTTTCTTCATCTGTAAAACAGAGATAAGAACAGAACTGTGGGAGTCAGTGATCTCTCCGTGGTTCCCGGGAGAAAATGGTGAGAGGATATAGAAAATAAAGACAAGAGACGATAGCCAGGGTCTGGTGGAGTTACCTCTTGCCTGATGAGCAAGAGGACTGACTCCAACAGTAGGGACGTTTATTTTATACACTTGCAAAGTAGTATCATGAGAGATAATGTTGCCTAGTGACTAAGACTAAGACTATAATTGTCCAAGGAGGATACTTTTTTCAATACTGAGGTAGCTTGACTGCCTGAGGCACTCTGGATCTGTCCCACCCTCTCACACATGACCAACAACCGACTCCAGCGGCTTCCAACACAGAACCTTTGGCACTCTGTTGTAAAGAGCCATACTTGTCAGTGCTGCCACCATGGAAGTGCTCATGAATGTTAGGGTGTATTAGGAATGTGCCAGGTGGGAAGTACTTCAAAGAATCAACAACTGAGATCTCATCTTATTGAAAAGTTTTTGCATGTCAAAAGAAATCACCAATAGGGTGAAAAGAAAACCCACAAATTGGGAAAAAATTTTAGCCAAGATAATTGTACTACTAATTTCTATTGGTTTATTGAAAGGAACAGTTAATGTGTAATTGTTTGATCAGTCTTACATGCCTATGTCTGGTTATCTGAGTAACTACTGTGAAGATAACAATATGTAATATAACAACCACTGTTAATTTCCTATCAACTTGTTTTGAAATTCTGTATCATTTTTATTGTTTTTATGTTGTTTTGTTTATGCCTTTGTTTTTTGTTATTTTGTTTTTTATATTTTCTCTTTAAAATAAAAAACATATGTATATATAAGTACCGCTGGGATAAGTGTATTGCTGATGTCTGTTGGTTTATTGCAAGGAACAGTTAATACTTAAAGTTTTTTTTCTCTTGACCAATTTTACATGCTTATATCTGGTAATTGGAACAACTCATTTGAAGACAACAATATGCAATGTAACAACCATTGCTGAATTCCTACCATCTTCTTTAATGAAGCTCTGTATAGTTTCTAATGTTTTTTATTGTCTTTAATTGCTTGATCAATCTTACATTCTTACACCTGGTAATCTGAGCAACTTCACTGAAGATAACAATATGTAAAATAACAACCATTGTTAATTCCTATCATCTTGTTTTGAAATTGTTTTTGAATTGTTTTGTTTTTGTCTTCATTGTTGCTATTTTGTTATTTTTTTCTCTTTAAAATAAAATTAAAAAAGAAAAAAAAAGGAATGTGCTGGGCAATCTAATGGGCTGAATCTAGAAAGTGAACTGCAAGCTCAGGAGTCTGTATTATACCCTGTAGCTAAAAGATACCTAAAAAAGAAAAACACTGTGCAGGCTTTTGATCAGCAATTAAAGATAAGGGGAGAAGGGGCTGGGATGTAGCCCAGCATGTGCAACACTAAGTTCACCCTTGTACTACATAGATACATAAATTCATGATAAGGGGAAATGGTCCTGTGGCAAATGTGGTGCTGGGTGTTGGCCAGAGGGAAAAACAATAAGGAGAATTCTAGGGCAGCGCCAGTGAGGATGAGGATGTAACAGGTAAAGCACTTCCTTCTGATATTCCTTGTCTAGGTTACTGGAAAAACAAGTATCACCTTCACTGTCAGCCTTTGCACTCTCTTGATTGGTCCTGGCTGGCAGATATGCCCAGGCAGGTTGAGATAATTATGTATTGTGCAGAGACGGGAAGTTGATTGTCTGGAGTAAACCAAGCTGAAAATAGAGTAATTATGACTTCATCAGACCTCGCGTAGCCTGCCATGTCTTGGGAAAACCCCGTGTTCCACACTAGAAACCCAAACTGGAGCCAGCACTGGTGCTGTATCCGCCAGCGTAAGCCTGCGCAGAGGTGCTCTGCGGGCGAAAGCAGAGGCTTTAGAGGGCCCCACAGGAAATGTTTCTGTTTTCAGTAAAAGCCCTGGTGTTCAGAGAGCTAAGTCCCAGGGTTTGGGCTTCTGCAGCTGCCCTGGCCTGTGTAAGTGGGGCAGATCTGTCTTGTTCCCTTTCCTTCTGTGAGGTGCACGCCAGTCCTGCTTCCCACCTCTTAGGAGCAGTGTGCGAGCATGTATGTGTGTGCATGCATGCCTGTGTGTCCGTGTGTGTGTTCTTCTCATGGAAAATCTTTCATGTAGAAGCAATGGTAGTGTACAGTGGGGCCGCCTGCGCCTTCACCTGGGTGTCCCATGTAGCCCATCTTGCTTTGCCAGCTGTTTATATCTGCCTCCTCCCTTCCATCGGATATTTATTGTAGAACAGTTTTATATGGTGTTATGATTTGGGTCTAGATGTCCTCAAAGCTTCATGTGGGCAGGGGTGGCAGGCTCTTTGGAGGCAGCTAAATCTAGAGTGTGTGGTTGATTGGTAGTGCAATGCTGAGATTAAAGGTTCTGGGATTAAGGGTGAGTTATTGGTGGATCAGCCCACTGATGGGTTGGACACTGCCCTAATCCCAGTAGACTGGATACATAATAAGGGACAGAAAGGGGCTTGTTCCCCTCCCCCTTGCTCCTTTGCTATCTTCCTCTTCCATGAACTGTTGCCCCTCTGCCATGTGTC